CTCGGTCGAGTCAGAACTCTGACTCGGTCGAGTCAGAACGAATCAGCCCAAGCCCATTGTCAACTCTTGATCCGGCCCATTTAGTATTGACTCGGTCCGAGTCAAAACGTTGACTCGACCGAGTCAAAACATCAGCCAAGCCCAAAACACTTTCTGGGCTTCGACCCACATGGAACTGACTCGGTCCGAGTCAAATACTGACTCGGTCCGAGTCAGAAGGCTGAAAACGTCCCGACACTCTGATTTGATCCGAAAACGATTTTTCCGACCAAATCCAAGTCTTCCTTTCCAATACTTCACATATAAATCCATCCCTAATGGTGTGTGACCCTGTAGGCCCATTCGCAGTGGCAGCAGCCTCGAGAACCATTCCCGATCTACAAGTCATGGTTAGCCTAGAGCAAGACGCCATGACCACCCACGTTGAATTGAGTTAGAGGTGATCTAACCAAGGCAATAACAGCTCGAGTTCTGATCCTTTATCTCCCGATATCATATGTTGAACAAGGGCATGGTTTGAGCCACCCTTCAAGTTCAACCGCTTTCTCGTCTTGGCAAATCAACTAATAAAATAGATGCAACTTCATCTATAGCGTGGCCACGCATTTTCATAGTCCGATTTCCACGAGAGGGCCCAGCGATATCTCTCCTATTGAGGAGGTGACAAGTCCCGTATTGCATGTCTATTATCTCCATATGATTCGTGAATGTATCTGATCAACGCCGTTATAATCATCCGGTTAAAGACGACGTTTGACGCAGTCAAGACACGCCACTCCTCATGTCAGATACTCTAGACATCTCAGGTCTGAGGATCCAAGAACGAACCGATGTATGAGATTCAAGTCATGACTCTGTCCATGTGACAATCTCATGCGGGTCAACCAGTCACTCGTTCACAACGAGTACCCATGATTGTGATATGCATCCAATGCATCGATCACACCTCATGCTAGTCTTAATTTATCATTGTTCCCACAATGATAACTGACCAGGGTGTTTAGAATCATTCTATAATGATTCAAGGATACCGAAATATAACAAACATGCCAATCATATAACGGGAATGTAATGCATTCATAAATCAATGAATCCATACAAAGTCAAAATGTCATATCACGGATCATCCTAGAGCATTACAACCAACAATCTCCCACTATGCTCTATGATCTATCCTACAAGCATCTAATCCCCATACCCTTAACATGCCCATCATGTTTTGACGAAGGGAGAGGCTTCGTCAATGGGTCGGCAATATTATCATCCGTCGACACTCTGCTTATCTTCACGTCTCCTTTGTCGATGATTTCTCTGATCAAGTGAAATCGCCTGAGTATGTGTTTGGATCTCTGGTGTGACCGGGGTTTCTTAGCTTGCGCAATCGCACCATTGTTGTCACAATACAACTCAACGGGATCTGCAACGCTAGGAATGACGCCCAGGTCTCCCACGAATTTCCTGATCCAAACAGCTTCCTTAGCTGCATCCGATGTTGCTATGTACTCGGCTTCTGTAGTCGAATCTGCCACGGTTGGCTGTTTGAAAATCTTCCAACTGATAGCCCCACCGTTCAGGCAGAAAACATAACCTGACTGCGATCTAAAGTCATCTCTGTCGGTTTGGAAACTAGCATCGGTATAACCACTTATAGCGAGCTCGTCTTCCAATCCGTTACACACCAAGAACAAATCCTTAGTCCTTCTCAAGTACTTAAGGATGTTCTTTACCGCAATCCAGTGAGCCTCACCTGGTGTAGACTGATATCTACTAGTCATGCTCAATGCATATGATACATCCGGGCGAGTACACAACATGGCGTACATGATGGATCCAATTGCCAAGGCATATGGAATCCTACTCATACGCTCTTGCTCATCCTGTGTCTTTGGACACTGAGTCTTGCTAAGAGCCACGTCATGTCCCATTGGCAAGGCACCCCTCTTGGAGTCTTGCATCTTGAACCGATTCAAGACCTTGTCAATGTATGTACTCTGACTTCTCCTAAGTCCTTCATCGAAAAGACTGGTCCTAGCAAGGATTTCACTCCTTGCAAAGTAGGAACATCATTTCCAATGAGCAATATATCATCTACATAAAGCACAAGGAAGACCACTGCGCTCCCACTGACCTTCTTGTAAACGCATGGCTCATCTTCGTTTTACAGGAAGCCAAACATTTTGATTGCCTCGTCAAATCGAATATTCCAGCTCCAAAAAGCCTGCTTCAGTCCATAAATGGATATCTGAAGCTTACACACCTTCCTCGGACTCTTAGGATCAACAAAACCCTCGGGTTGTGTCATATACACATCCTCGAGCAGATTCCCGTTAAG